CTATAAAAAGACATGAAAGAATTGTCCTGAGTGATGAAAACTGTACACTTACTATAGGTACATTTTATTGTAGATAAATCATAACTAAACAAAAATATACTTTTTAAAAAATATGATTTGGGATTCATAAGACAGAAGCTTAGATTCTACCTTAGCTAATGTACTACCTCTGTTTTCCTTAGCAACTCACTTATATTTTCAGCATCTATTTCCTCATGTATAAACAGTGACAACACCAAGTACACTTGAAGTGAGAAAATATATGTTGAAGTAGCTTAACTAAAAAGTAATAAGCAAATATTAATATTATTAACACTCAAAAGTCCTTTTACAGCACAGACTTTACATGTTATTTTCTATTTCTATTTTTATGGTAAGTTGTTTCTTTCCTGAACAATCTGGAGTAACATAAAAATTATTTAATAAGATATAATAACTATAAAATATTTCTTATAAAAGAAGATAACATTTTATATTAAAGCAGAGCAATATGAAGCAAGAAAAAGAAAATGAGTCCCCAAACACAAAATAGTATAAGAATTAATATTTTTGTTTTTAAAAGTAGTATGTCCAAAATCTCTTCTCTGGCTTAACTAGAAAATACATACTTTGAACAGGATTTCTGCACCACTTACATTACTGATTTAGTTTCCACATTCCAAAAGTGTCAGAAAATTATAAATTGTTTAATATAAAAATGGCACATGTACACAAATACTTTTATCACAAAAATAAAGAATAATATGATTTTCTTTTCAGGCATTCAAACAACACATTTGCAACCCATACTCCCACAAACCTTAAAGTCATTACTATTTTTGACAAAATCTTTGGCAGAGTACCACAACAAATGCTCCAATTCTGATATTTCATCTGGAAATGGCCCTTTGAATTCAGAGTCCCTCAAACCACAGGGACACATGGCAATAATATAGGATTTTGGACTGCTGTTCTTAAAAACAACTTTGGCTGTTTTTTTTGGCTAACACATTTTATCTCATTTTCATATATCTGAGAAATGTAAGTTAAATAATGTAGGGAGTCTGTCTGAATTTAGAATGCATTATCCACTTAAAAAAATTGAGCTGCAAAATATAGTAAGATACAGAGTAGGATATACCTTACTATATAACATTTTTTAAACTAAAATATGACCGAAATGCTTATTTGCAATGAAAATACTGGAGAAATACCCTTGCAAAAATAAAAGTAAACCCTTCTTCATGATAAATATTTCTATCTTCTCTGAATGTTAAATGCAGAGATTGCTAGTTGTCCCACAATATCCATCTTCCCCTTTTTACACAGTAATGGAAACTTCTAAGAACAGGACACAACTGAAGAACACTTTTCACAGATTCCCTTGCAGCTAGGTGAAGCCATGTGACTAAGTTCTGGCCAATGGGATGTGAACAAAAAGAGTCTATGCAATTTTGGAGTGATGGATTTAGAGAAAAGGCACATGCTCTTTACTTTCTCTTTAACACAGTCCTGCTGCCTGAAAGGTAAACAACTGTGAAGCTGGAGCAGCCATTTTGGACCATGAAATAAAAACTACCTGTTAAAAATGCAAACCAACATGATCAAAGAAACCTGTATCTTCAACATCATGAAGCCATCATATTAAGCCAGGACTGCCTATTTGGGTTTTTACATTAGAAACAAACCTACATGCTGTTTAAGTAACAAGGGAAACAAGGGGAAAGGAAACAGAAGGAGACTTTGCATTAATTCTACTAGAGACTTGTCACCAATTTTAGTGTTTTTATATACCCATTATATTTGCAAACATACACATATATATTATATATATTATGTTTAATTTTCCTTCAAACTTCATTAGGACTATTTTTTAATATATAAAACCACAATATATCAGATGACCTGGAATGAATCTAAGAAATCACTTTACAATTTTACAGATGAAAAAAAATTTGACAGTTGAAAAAACAGAATTATGAGCAAATTAAATGATTAACCCAAGGTCATTCTCATCAAAAATAACTGTTTTTCTGTGACTTATAAATAAATTTTTTCTGAAGAAACAAAGCAAGATATGAAGGCAAAAAGGAAGAAAAATATATTATTCGTTAAGATGCATTGTTAGCATGGCAAAGTATATACTATAAAGTCAGGATGAATTGTGAAAAGTCAAGGGAAACAGTGACATAAATTATATGAATGATCTCCCAAGTGAGTGACAGTACTTATGGTGAAAAGATGATGGGTTCCAAAGGCTGGCACTAGAGTATGCTGTCAGTCAGAACAATCTACTGTCAAATGAAGAGCACTGGGGCAAGAAGGGTGATAGAGGTTCGTACCATATAGAGAAAAGGAGTTCATGTGTGGTTGGCTGTCTAACATTTATTCCAATAGGAATTGATATAAAACAGAAACATCTGTTATCTATAAAGTAAAGCCAATTATAAACGAAATTTTGGAAGTATGAGCTCAAAAGCAATTTCATATAAACTGTGAACTTGCTTCTCCCAAAAACTGAGTATAAATATCAACAAACAAGTTATACTTTAAAAATATTTCACTGCATTAGAAATTGACAATTCTTTCATTCAGACAAAATATAAGATAGTAGTTCCAAAATATCTTTTTAAATATAAAAATTAGTGGTTACTTCCTTTAAAAAAAGAATGAAAAGGAAAATCTGTTATAAATGTAAATTCCAAACAATTCTTACATGAGTTGATATTCAAAATGTTCAAACTGTGCAGTAATCTCCAACACACAATTAGACACATAAAATTTCTTGAAGTGATGGAGGTGTATGTACTCTTAGAGGTGTATGTCTGGTAGCAAGTGTGCTTAGCATTCATAAAGCATTCTTTGTCGTGGAAGAGTAACCTTATGTCAAGAAACAACAGCACTCGCTACAACTCTTTGAGTTGAATCTATGTTCATTCTTTTCCTTTTTTCTAACGTAAGAGGTCATTTTTGGCAATAATCAGATATCTGTGTCATCAAGAAAAGGATAACAAAATCCTTTTCAATTTTTAGGTCATCCAAGCACAATTAGCCTTAAAAAGTATTCTGCCATGTTTCCAATTGTCTGCAGATTTTTGCCAGCAGATGAATTTACAAGATATTGTCACTCTGAAATCAGTTTGCAGAAGCACATCCTGAATACTGGAAGATTCCCATGACACTTTAGCCAAATGAACTTGTGATTTTTCAGCAGCATTCATCCATAAGGCTGACTGCAGCACTGAAAGTTTTACCTCATTTAAATATCCAAAAATATCTCTCCAGTAAACCAAGCCAGGAATAAACTCCTCCTTGTCAAACTGTTCTGAAAGTGACCTTTCTTTTTCTCTGGAACAAATAAATAAATAAGGAGACAGCTATTTAAACTGCAATGTGGTGATCTAAGGTATATTCTGTACGAAACCAACTCACTTCTACATTGCAGGGAATTGTTTTGCTATTTCCATTTCTTAAGAAAACTTGTTAAAAACATAGTACCTGTAGTTCGAGGTGCTGGCTCTTGGCTCTGGTAAATTTGAATACTTTCAAGGTGGTAAGCAAGAAAACTTCCAGGATTACTGTCAGTCTTTGATGCCAATATATGCCAAGCCAATTGTAAAAGACGTGAGTCATGAGGACTTGAAGTTCTTTCTTCACAGAAGCAGGAAACCCAGATGTATTGCCAACCATTGCAAATATTCCATCCATGCTGACTGCACCAAACCCCCTGTTTCACCATGTCAAAGATATCATCAAAGGCCTTTCAGCTTTCCAAAAGGCACCTCACTAACTTGGAATTTGTTATGCATCAATGTATACAAAACAGACAAAAATCAGAAACTGGCTGCAAGAAATAATGCTAGTTGTTACATACAAACACTTATTGAATGGGAAATGGCCTTACTCCCAGTTTGACAGTGATCTGCTTCAAAACATTAGAAAAAACCGTCAGCAGTTCTGTAGTGTATAATACCATCTGATTGAGCTTGGCCCACAGGAAAGAGCACTTGTCATAAAGAACAAAATTTTTGTAGCCAGTTCCAACCTTCTTACTGAAACTATTTTAAATTACCATTTTAAGGAGCTTAGCATATTGAAACTTACATAAATTGACAGATAATTAGGAAA